AAATTACAGACATAATCTACAATAAAATTTAATTAAAATTAAACATTTACAAGTGCAATTTTAAGATTTCAAATCATTCCATGTTTAGATTATAACAGCTTTAATTATGCTTTACTGTGCAAGTTATATGATTATAGTCAGCCACCAAGGGGCACTTCATGTAAAGGTTATGTTCTGTAGGTCATTTCAAAATCAGATAACCGTTAGTTACTTGTTTTCTTTTTACAGCCATTTTTAATAAAGTTATTCTCTTTAGCTATCTTTGCTAATTAAGTTGTGGAAAATGCTTAAAAATTTACATTTTTATGAATGAAAAGGACCAGAATGTTCCTAAATTATGTGATGGACAGTGGTTTTTGGATTTGTTTCCTTCCAAATATCAAAATAAAATTAAATAAACTTCTTAATAAGCAGCTTCAAGGTAAAAGCAAATTAATCACAGATTGTTATCAAAATATAAAAACATTCATAGCAAAACTCAAACTTTATGAAAGTCAGATAAATCAGAAACTACAATTCATCGTCCAAAATTACATAAATTTAATAGTGACAAAAATATTTTTTAAAATATGCACAAGAAATTACTAATTTACTAAGAGAATTTCAAGAAAGATTTTCTTATTTAAAAATTTAAGAAAACATTAAATACTAGCTGTCACCTGCGACTTCGCACACGGAAGTTTTGCAAGCAAACGCCATTTATATTCATTATTTCAACAACCATAGTAATTGTTATATAACACCTACCACTGACAATGATGAGAATTGCTCAAAATCAAACAAACTATTTTCAATTTGATCAATTTTCTGAAACGTTTACAATCGTTCTATAATCGAACCAATATGCAATAACAAATTTGAATTTAAAATGGTTCGAACATTTGGTTAAAAAATGAAAATATATAAAAACAATGTCTGAAATGTTATAAATTTAATACACCTAACTACTTAATGAAGACTAAAAGTAATTGTTTTTATATCAATATCGTATTCAGTAATAATTTTGGTTAGATAATATAGAAAGTTATAAAATCTTACCAAACATGTATTGATAATTTTATTTTTAATTGACTCAACAGCACACCATCTAAAAGATGTTATATTCGTAAGCGTTTTGTGACATCATAATTTCCAACTTTTTCATGTCGCACATTGCTTGCTTAACTCTCCCACTTACAAAGTGAGATGAATGGATGTTAGTAAGATTTGTTTGCAGATGGAAGTAAAATACTGTGCATTTCTACGTATCAATTTTAGGATATTAAAAAACAAGTATAATTCATATTTTAAAGTGAATGTAACAGTGCATATATCAGCATACGTATGGACATATGATTCTAAATGAATATAAATCAGATTCTTATTAGTGATAGGTTTTTAAAACATTTTAATGCAGCATAGTCCAGTTAAGAACTTTGAGTCCATAATTTTTAATTATTAAGATAGTATTTACAAGTTATTTTAACATGAATGTATAATAAGAACTAAAATATAAAAGAGACATTCTATTGCTAGATTCTTAAGTATAATTGAGAAATATTTGAACATTGCTGACTCATGGGTGAGATGACAACCTTACTGTAACATGAGCGTATGTAGTTATGGAAGTTGTGTATGTCGAACCATATGGGACCTTGTAAATTATTTTCAAGTTCATTCACATCATAACTTTTTAATAAATGGGCAGTAACATAAAAGTTTCAATGACAGTTAAAGAGCACAATTTTCTGGATTTGAATAAATACAATTTGTGCTGCATAATTTGCAGCCTTAAATTTACGAGAAGTAAAAGAGATTTTCCTTTTATGACTCTTCTTTAGACTAATTAAATGAGGCTCTTAACTTTGTCATTAGAACTTTTATGTTACCTTCGCTTGTTAAAAAGTAATGACCTTGAAAATGTTATTGGAGTCCCATCAAGGCACGTTAGTTGAGAATGTGACTTCTCTAAGATAAGAGCTGTTCATTACATGCAATATTTGTCCCAAATTCTATTTAACCATTCTGTTCTTTGTTGGCCTCTTCACCCTCTTCTCGTCCTCTTTCTAATATTAGATTAGCTAATCTGTGAAAAATTCCTTTTGGAACACATCCAGCAAAATTGAAAGTATACAGTAAAAGCCAGAAAATTCAGTGCTGTAACTTTATATACAAGATATACATTACTATCATTAAATAAAGTATTTATTTGTGAAATTTTAATTATCATAATATCTTATATCAATAAATTTCATGTTAAAAGTATGAAACTCAAAAGGTTTTCTTTTCAATATTCAGGTTTAAGAAAATGTCTTCGAGTACCGAAGAACGAAGAGAAAATGGTTCTGCTGCTTCCGGTGGAGATCAGAATTCAGGAGGTAATCAAGAAGGGAATTTCGAGTGCAATATTTGTCTAGATACAGCAAAGGATGCAGTCGTTAGCCTATGCGGACACCTCTTCTGGTAGGAGTTTTATTGTGTTAAGAATTATGATAATAAGTGTCGAAACATTTTCTTCTCTAAATTATAACTTAGCAGCAGAATGTATCCTAATGTGATATTAGATTTATTGATTGTGTTTTATTTAAATTACTTTCTGGAAACATTTAGATTTAGTTTGATCCAGTCCATTCAGTTCAAACAAACTGAACTTAGACATGTTTTGACTTACTTAGACATACAATATTTATTTATTGCACTGGCATAATAAGCATTTCTAAGTGCTGAGATACAATTTATTGGCCACTTGCTACAAAGAACATAACTGACTTTACTATTATTTAATTCAAATAAGCACTTTATTAGTATAATTACTATATCAGCTTGTCAGTTATTTACAGTCCTCTTCTACTATTGTCAATAATGTTTTCACTCTAATTCCAGGTTTGTTTCAATGTTTATTCTTACTTTGAAACCAATTTATTGAAAGTAACATAATATGAGGAGGTCAAAATTAAGTATAAATTGTTGAATTAATGTAACTAGAGTGGAAACATTAGTTGCAGTATATCAAGAGTTTCTTATAGCTACTTTACATCACCCTTGAAAAAGTATAACAAAATCTGTAGGCTGAAAAACATTTGAACATTTTTTTTACATTGCTGGACTGACATAAGGTTACTGAATAGTACTCAAAATGTGTAATTCCACTTTAATAATACAGTCGACCCCCCTATAAGATAGAGATACGTTCCATTCTCTAGGAATCCGCTTTCTTACGAATCCTTCCAATCACAACCCGACACGTATCAAGTTTACGGACTACGGCTGTTTGAAAGATTTTCTTCCATAAAATTAATCGATTCTAGACTAATCCGACTCAACATTTCCAAAATACGTATATATTTTTTGGGAATAATCCGTATAAACTACGCTATAAACAAAAAATTGTAGGATTACTTACCGAGTGTCACCATTCGACATTGCCATTGCTCAACATTGTTTTCGTCGCGGAACAGCTCAGCAAAGAGCGGCCGATTTCTAACAACTTATTTTTCTGTGAAAACTTCGTAGAACTTCGGAGACATCATTAATATAAATAATTTTAATCGCCGTTGAATAAGAAATGTTTCTTTCACAAGAAATGTATAAAATTACAGTACTGTATTAGACTTACGGTACCTAATTTACATACTGACAGACGATAGTTAGCGTAAAAATCTCCGTAGCGTGGCGCCACGCTAGACGGCGGAAATTATATATTTAATTATAACAAAGTTACAATAAGTTAATATATAATTATATATACAGTACCTAATTTATATATAATTAATATATAATTATATGTACAGTACCTAATTTATATATAATTTATATAATACTGTCCAGACGATAGAAATCTCTCCATAGCGTGGCGCTACGGACAACGGGAAAGTAGTTCGGTTTCCCGATGACGTTTGAGGTGTTTATAGGGAACTTTTACTATTTTTTACGGATACCGGTAGCAATTTTTTCGTAGTTTTATAGGAATCGTAACTATAGGGACCGTAATTATAGGGGGGTCGACTGTAATTACATGCCAAATTTTTTCTTCTTAAATTCCTATGTTTTCTTACTATTACCTTATACTTTTCTATTAAACTTTATTCACATTTAATAAAAACAAAGCTTAGAGAATGGGAGAAATGTTTATTTTGTGCTCTTGTCTTATCAGTATAATATTTTGTTTTAAATATCTCATGATGCTGAAAATAGTAGAAAAAAAAATGGTAGTGTTTTTATTGAATTGAAGTAAAATTTCAGATCTTTAAAGATGGTGTAGAAATATTTCTTCATTACTTAGTCATCCACTTCTTATGTATAAGTTTACAACTAAGTTTAATTAAGTTTCCAAAAACTTACCTTAAACTTACAGCTTCAGAAACTGCCATAAAGGATGCATAGATCAATCCTTTTCAAATTATCATCATTTTATCTTAGATATACACGAAACACAATACAGTATGAAACCTTCATTCAAAGACGAAGGTCTTACATTTGTAACTATTTTTCTATGGAAAGTTGTTATATCTGACGTCAAAAACAGTATAGGTGGTGTCAGGAATTTTCATTATATACAGTTTTGGACAGTTTACAACAGTTAAAGAAACTGTACAACATTTGTACAGTTTCTTTAACTGTTGCTTTAAGTGTATAATGTGATAAAAATTCCTTCAAACTGTTTATAATGTAATAAACTTTGAAATAGTTAGTAATAAAATAAATCTGTAATGCACTGCCAGTTGCGCGTTTGAGAACCAAAATATTTTTTTATTAAAAATTACATTGGCACCGATACCAAAACTGTACATAATGAAAATTCTTGACAGTCATATTGAGACAAATATGAAATGTAAAATCTAGTCTTTGAATGAAGGTTTCATACTGTATTGTGTTTCGTGTACATCTAAGATAAAATGCTAATAATTTTAAAATGATTTATCTCATGCATGCTTGACAGCAGTTTCTGTACCTGTAACGTTTACAGGTATGTTTTTAGAGGTATCACTGATTCTTTCATTTCACGTGCTTTATAAACCATTACATTATTTTACTCATCTACAATGCATTTATCTGTGCAAGGCCGTAAGGTGGAAAGCATTGCCTGTGGATTATCCATAGTGGAGAAATAAATAGAAAGATAAATTTGAAAATAATTCTTTAAATACATTTCAAATTATTAATTGGATCAAGTGGCAAGGGTTTAATTTTTTCAACAACACCTTTAAATGTTGTGTGGAAAATGCTGTAATTTAGACAAATTAAATATTTTTAACAAATGAGAATACATTTATCTATGATCATATCAAATTGTATCAGGTTTGACATCAAATGCTAAGAGGACAGCAAAAGCAATTACATATACACCGCACTTGACTCTATTTGGTTGTTGCTGTACTCTCAGAAAGTTCAGAGATGTCAGTATTCGTGTGAGGATACAAACTCTGTAAGAGTACTTACTTTAGTTTCATAGATGTTTTATCATAATTTATAGAATATATGAGAATATGTTTTGTGTCATAATAAGTGCAAGTCCAATGATCGTTGCTATGTCAAATTTGTGTGTGCTTTGATATCATATGTGATAGGAAAAGTAATTGCAGGATTTTGGATATAATTTGATGGTAACATCAAATAATAAGTACAATTTTGTAGAACATGGGCAAAAGAAGTTGTGTAAATCTTCTAGTTTTCCATTAAAGGCTATCCATAAATTATGTCTGCATTTATCTTGAAATTTTTACTGCCCCTCCCTCTCTTATCTCAGTTTGTTCAAGTTTCTTTAACTCCCTCCCCTCTTTGGACATTCAACAAAACTCTACCCCTCATTCATAAAGTGATAAAGGTGTTATCACTTTATGAATGATAGATACCATAAGTAGAAACTAAACATACAACAAACTTTCAAATAAATACAGTAAAATGCATAAACTTTATCCAATTTAGTGAAATAAACAGATGTTCACTGAAGCTCAACTCCTCTCCTTCCTTTGTCCAACTTGTTATAATCTTTTCCCTCCTTCCCAGTGTGGACAGCCCCTTACGTATAATAGTAATTTTTTTTTGTGTGTGTGTGGTCTCATCAATAATACTAGGTTTCCAATTCTTTTGCTGCTCATACACCTTCACATTTCACGAGTGGTCCAATACACATTTGATTAAATGCTTCCACTATTTTTCTCTAAACTGTTTTAACACCATGTTCAACCTTACTTTTGTCAGACCAAATAACATGATTCCAAAACAAAGTGGATTCTTGAGATGCTTTTCAGCCCTTGTAAGTAATTTCTCCTTGTTTTGTTTTCTTATCCATGCACTTGTCATAAACCACAGTACTACTACTAAAACCTTTAAAACTGTACTGTATAAATGGTCTTTCTCAGGATAGAAAGAAACAAATTTCAATTAAAAAGTAAGAATTAACACTGGAATGTCCTCTGGAACATCAGTTGATTTCAAATATTAACATTTTAATTGTAGTAGTCTTATTGCTTATCCATGGTTATCCAAGCAACCCTAGCATAATAACCACATGCAAGACAGAGATGACAGAGTTTGTTCTAATATCATTAGACCGCTCAGACTTTTTTAGAGCCATGTCAATGATGTAAAATTGTAACTTTCAACAAAGTTGCTTCTTCCCTTCTGTATGCAATTATTTGCACTGTTACATTTTATGGGAAATAAAAATGAAAAAATAGGTACCATGCTGATAATAATTTGGTGTCTGTTCATCAATATCTTGATTTATGAATATTCAATGGGAAATTCTTATGCAGATACACTGTGATATTTTAAATTGTATATCAATATATCATGTGAATTAACTAATAAATTATTTATAACTAAGAGAAAGACATGAGTTGCTACATTTGTGTTTTAATTAAATGCTATTTATAAGTAAATACATATGTAGTTTATCAGGTGATATCTAGGCTGACTATGGCATAATCTAGTAAGTAATGCTCGTGATCTCTGACTATTAACTCGGGTTTGTATTTCCTCTGTTATTTTACTGTATATGTAAAGTGACAAGGAAAAACAAACCTGAGTCAGAGACGACAAATGTTACTCGCTGGCAGTGTTGAAATGGCTTCAAGGTCATCTGATAAACTACGCATGTATTTCTTTTTTGAGTTTTCTCGCGTATTGCCTATTCACGTGAATGGCTATACCCAGTTATAAAGAGCATCAAGAGCTACTTGATAAATACCATTTTATTAAAAAGTGTCATGTAGCAGGCCTCGGAGTCGCTCACTTTTCTCACTTGTACTCACTTTTCTGAAGTATCCTCACTTTTCTCACTTTTCAGGTCATTTTCTCACTTTTCTCACTTTTTTGATCATTTCTATGTGCTTAGAAATTAGGAAGATGTGGGACCAATCAAAAATAGTTTTAAAGCCAGACGATCTGCCGAATTATCGAATTATCGGACTAGATTTTTATGGAAAAAAATACTCCGCCCGAGCGGGACTCAAAATCGCAACTGCCGCTCAGTGTTGTTAAATTATCGTCTGTATTTATACGTAACTAGGTAGTCAGTAAGGCTGTGTACACACTAGGCGTTTTTAAACGCGTGTTTTAAATAACCAAGAGTTCTACATAGGCGTACACACTCAAACGCGCGCTTTTGGCCAAGCGCGCGTTGATAGATTTTTGTTAAAACGCGTGTTTTGCGGGCGTCAGCCGAGCGCTTTGAGATATATGTGCTGCCATGTTACTGTACATTCGATCGCGCATTTTGCGGGCGTCAGCCGAGCGCTTTGAGATATATGTGCTGCCATGTTACTGTACATTCGATCGCGCGTTTTCGGGTAAAGTGGACGTACGTTGACCGAAATGGAGAACGATCATTTCGATACTGATCTATTTATTGATGAAATCTAAAAGAGNAAATTGAGCCAGCATAAACCGAGGGCTACTTGTATTGCACTCACTTTTTATTCACTTATTCTGTATTTCAACTCACTTTTCTCACTTTTTCAAAGGGGAAATGGCACTCCCAGGCCTGTGTAGCAACTTGCAGTCTTTCCTTGCAAATCAACATAATAGTCTTCAATTTTATTGATGAAATTAATCCTTAGTAAAATAAAGCTGAGTAATAGTCAAGATTTTCATTTCAAAATTCTCCTTAAACTTGTTTTGCTATTGAGTATTTGGTCAGTATTATTATGATTGATGTTTAAATAAAATAAACTATGCAACCTTTAAGAACATCAAGTTTAATTAATAATTCTTATCATCAGCCATAATTCTTCCTTATGTTATCAGTTACATAACAATGAGAATTTCCTGGACATGAAATTAAGTAGTATCTATATCATTCTTACAAAGTTCCAGTGTAAATACAGCTTATATTGTTATTGCTTCCAGATCGTTTGGTCAAAGACAAAGAAAATGCACAGATGTCAGTAAGAGAGATGATACAAAATTTTCCAAATCTTCACTAAGTTTTCAAGCCTCACCATTTAATAACGTGCATCTGGAATGACAGAGAGCATTAACCATTCCAATTTTAATTTTCTATTTCGATGGCGAGAATGGGATTCTCCTCCTCGCTTGGAAGTTCCATCAAGTATTCATGTCTACCTTTGACATCATAATTGTCTCTTTATTCCTTATTATAATTACATTTAACACTATATCTTATGTTTGTTCCATTCTAGTTTTTATTTCTGATGTTCTATGTTGTTGAAGCATGACGAGGGCCTGTTAGTTAAGTTAAAAACATTGGCAATTAAAATATTGGTTTGCTGTTAATGCTGTAAATGTTTCTTACATTTAATATATTATTAAATGTCATGAGTACTGAGTATGACATTTTTGTGGTCTTCAAAGTACACTTGTAGACGGCAGTCAATTTTTTTCCTTTCAGCTTACTTCATAAAACATCTTCAGGATTCTTTAATTCTCAGAATAACAGTTTTGAGATGAATATAAAAAAATTAATTTGAGAAATCATTTACCTAAACAATAAATACAACATTAAATATATACTAAATACGCATATATAGATTACAAATTCGGGCGGATTTCTGTGCAGAAGAAAACATGTCTGCCTTTCTATCATCTAAACACACACCATAATTCTTTGCTTAAATATGTTTACCTGTTCCTCGACAAATATATGCAAAAGAGAGGTAATTTACAGCATGTATTTAATACATATTTAATGTATTTTGTTATATGTATTGTCTGCTTAAATAGTTTATCAAACTACTTTATGTTTAACTTCATAAGTTTTAAAATTTGTTATTTTGAGAATTAAAGAATCCGAAAGATAGTCTAAGAAATAGCTGAAAACAGTAGATTCAAAAATTAATTATACTGTTATATTCTTGCAATTTTCTTTGTTTTTGCTTACAGCAACACATTTAACTTTTGAGTGGTAATTCTGTAATGCACAATTTTTTAGTAAATTACAGAATTACTATATTTTATAATTTGGAAACTCGAAAGACGTGTTAGTTTTCTGTTACTGTCGATACACAACGTCGTCATTTTTCATTTGCAGCATCATTCAGGTTCTGTCTTTTTACAGAGTTTCCTTTCACTGTTTGTTTGGCTTTCTAAGTTCTCTACATTAAACAATTGTCTTTCTCTTGGTAACCATGATGTTGTTTTCATTCGGGTTTGCAAGACTGCACCATTCGTGGCTATCTGACTACAGATTTTTCATGTATGATATATTATGAATATAAAATACCAATATTTATCAATATACAGTGGTGCCTCGTACAACTTATGCCTCGAATAACGGATGCTGCGAACAACGGACTTTCTGTTTGGCTGTTACGTGACTCGAGCAACGGACTTTCTGCAAACAAGTGCTAATGATGTTTTCACTCTTTTGCCGTTGCCAATGACAATCTGCTATTTTTATAATATATTAGTATTATTAGAATATATTATTAGTATATCTGAAGGACAGAGCTCCTGTTGGGATTCGGCTTGCTCCCTTGTTTATTACGTACAGTGCATCACCCTCAGTGCAGGGTATTTACATTTATTCAAGTGTAGTGCAAATCATGGCTTCTAAAAAACAGGTGATTTCAATTGAAACAAAGCAAGAAATCATCAGAAGGAGTGAAAGTTGACAAAAACTTTCTTGTCAAATGGGGAGAGGTTCAGGAGTTTACCAACACTCATTATCCAAACAGAGCTGAGGTCAACAGGATCAATGATCTCTACAATGACACCCTTGCCTGTCATTTCCAACAGGTGTTGAAGAAGAGAGAGAAACAGGCCATCTTGGACATGTTTTTCAAGAAGCCAGTTGCCAAAAAACAAAGGATGGAACAAGACCCTGCAAACTCTGGTAGCCTCCTCTAAATCTGACTCCGGTTAAAAAACAATAAAAAGAAACCTGCTGCAATGTGTAAAATGTCTATCTGTATGAATGTATGAAAAAAGTGGTTCCTCCACCTCCTCACAACATCTGACTACCCGGCATAATTGGTGACTGCTCCATTTTTATTTTTTTATGGTACGGTTATTTTATGCTGCGGAACAAATTATATGTTTTAACATGTATTTCTATGGGATAATGCGTTTTGTATAACAGACTTTTCACTTAACGGATGTGCACCTGGAACGGATTAAGTATGTTATATGAGGCACCACTGTACATTGTAATGATATTGACAAGATCTAGATAGCACATGTCATAAAATCTTTGCGTGTTTACTCAGATTGAAAGTTTATTAAAAAATATAATCCAAAGAAGTAGAAAGTAACAAATCTCTTGAAAGAATAATTTATGTATAATAAATAAACTCAATTTCATTTCAGTATAAATAAACAACATGGCTTCTTAAACCATTTATTAAATGTCTTTGGTCAATTATAAGACTAGCTTACAAAAGTGCACTTGATAGAATAGAATGATGTACGACAAATTATTCATATTCCTTTTCTTATTATTAAAATAAGAAAGTATTCTATAATTTCCAATTTTTATAATTGTCATATAAGGACAAGTCTTAATTAAAGTAGAACAATATGACAGAAAAAAAAAAAATCCCAAGTTTTACGTATCTGTTCCATCCAGAGAGCGGAAGTTTATTGCCTTTCTAAGAAATGCCTTGCATTCAGTTTTGTTTAAAGTGAAATATTGAGTAGAATAGACAAGGACCAAAACACCATCCTTGAATTAAAGATTGCTTAATAATGTGATATTTTTTCCTGTATATAGGTCAATATACGGAATTAACTTGAAATAAATCACAATGTGCAAATTTACTGCTTTGTCTATCACTGTGTCATTTAAATCTGTTTTTAAGAAAGTTATTGAGAATAAAATTGAACATACAGTAAATTTAAGTATTAAGAATTAAAATTAAACTAAAAATAGAGGAAAAAATAACATAAATAAGGATTTTTTTTTTCCCGACTACTTTATAGCAGGATACTGTTTAAAAATACAAACAAGTTTTATTGTACTGTCGTTAATTTATGATAATTATTTCCTTTGATTTTTAGTTGGCCGTGTTTACATCAGTGGCTGGAAACTAGGCCCACTAGACAGGTTTGTCCAGTATGCAAGGCTGCTATAAATAAAGAAAAAGTTATACCTTTGTATGGAAGGGGAGGTGCTAAACAAGATCCAAGGTATTGTTCATAAAAGTTCATGGCATTATTTTTTTTTGTTTTCAAACACATACATGCAAATAGTTGTTTTTACAGTTCATGCTTTAACAAGAAATATAATTCAGCAGGTTTTAAAACAGTAATTAAAGCTACCAGGTGTATCAATTAATAATGCAGATTTTTTAATCGAAGAAAACATGATAATTTCAAGAGAAACATCAAAAGTACTTTATTCAAGTAATGTCCATTGCTAGCTACACATTTCCCCCATCTTTTGGGTAATTTGTGGATACCATTCCAATAAAACTTTTTTTGTTTTGAGGCATTCAGAGACCCATTTTCCATTTCTTCATATGTTTAGAAGTGTTGCTCAGAAAGTGCACGTGCATTGATCAGAACAAGTGGAAATCAGAAGGAGCAAGGTCTGGTGAGTACAGCGGGTGGGTTAATACTTCCCAGGCAAGTTCTTTTAACAAGTCTTCAACTGGTTTTGAAGTGTGTGACGGTGCGTTATCATGAAGCAAAATTACTTTGCTGTGTCTTCTGGCCCATTCTGGTCATTTTATAATTAAAGCATGGTTCAAGTTGATTATTTCTTGTTAGTGACAATCAGTATTAATAGTTTTACCTGGTTTTAGAAGCTCATAATGCACCACATCTTCCTGTTCCCACCAAACTCAAAGCATTGTCTTCTTTCTGAGGCAGTTTGGCCTTGCAGTCGATGTTGTCGTTGAACTGGATCAACTCATGATTTTGTGTGTTTAGGATTTTCAAAATAAATCCACTTCTTATCGCCAGCCACAGTTTGATGCAAAAAAAAAATTCATTCATGCTGTTGAATCATTGTTTTACTGAAGACTTTTTGATTTTCCATTTGTCTTTTGTTCACTTGATGTGGCACCCATTTTCCTTCTTTTAAAATCTTTTTCGTTGCTTGTAAACAATCAGAAATTGTTTGCTGAGCAATGCTTAATCTTTCTGCAAGGTGTTTTTGAGTTTGACATGCATCCAATAATGCTTGTAACTGTTGGTCTTCAAACTTTTTTTAGTTGATCTGGACGTTCTTTGTCTTTCACATAAAAATCACCACATTTAAAATGTTTAAACCAACATTCATAAGTATCTTGAGATGAGTCATGTTTACCGTAAGCTTCCTGAAGTATACAATAACTTTCAGCAGCATTTTGCTTCTAAATAAAGTAATGAATTAAAACTTTCCACAAATTTTTCGGGACAAAATTCGACATATTTAATTATAAAAATATATGATGATGATAACACCTTCAGAAAATTCGATGTATAAAGTTTTAAAGCTTGTTGTCAATTCAACAAAATGGCATACACATCAAATCAGATATGCCAACATATCGGTAATGCCATCTATTGAAAACATCCGCATTATTAATCGGTACACCTGGTATACTAGAACCTTGAAAATCATCTTCAAGGTCCCATTCAATTCTCTGTATGTGCCTTTCTATGTTAACTACATTAAAAAAATAATATCTTTAGTACTTTTGGAATGAATTGGGAATAGCGATTTGTAGATTCACAATTCATTCCTATTTTGATATTCCTTCAAAGGATTAGCCATAGAATGTCATATTTTGTCTATTAAGTAGAAACCAATTTTAAAGAGATGGAATGTTTCAATTTTCTTAAAGATGATCTTTAAAAAGCATAAAAAGTAATTGCTTGGAGCGATCTGTAGAGATAAATACTTAAAGAGAAACAAATCCAAACTGGAAAAATATAGATATAAATCACCTCAGCAGCCTTCATTTTATTCCAGTAATATCTTAAAAATGACTAACATTTTCGAATAGCAATAGTACATGAGCACTTGATAAAAACTTATAGAACAATTAGCACAAAATCGTATATACAACAAGATACCACCCCAAGGCAGAAAATATACCCCAGCTGAGTCTAAGAACATAGTGATGGAATATGACAAGAAGTTGAAATCAATATATAAAGAAATTGCATACAATGGGGGAAAGGAGCTGGCATACAAAAGGGGCAGTACTACATATTAAATGTTGTGAAATGATAAGGCTATCATAGACAGCACCAGAGCTTCTGGAGTTTATAGCATACCAGTAAAAGAAGAAAGATTTGACAGGGATTTAATTTACATTGGAGCCAGAAATAGATCTCTTAGAAGCAGGAGTAAAGAACACAAATATGAAAAACAAACAACAATGCTATCCATATATGCCTTGGAGTCAGGAATCAAAACTAAATTAGAGCAAGCAGCACTGATTATAAAGTGTTTTATTTGAGAAGAAACTAAATTTTTAGACATGTTAAAAATATATAAGACAGCCTCAAAGATAGAGAGCATTAACATACGAGATGCAGATTCATTATCATATGCTTGGAAAGCTCGGATGTGTTTATAATTTTGAAACAGACTGTATAACTGACCTGAAGCAGGACAGTCAAGCCGTTTTATAAAAATGTTCATTGTTTTTAAGATATTACTCGAATAGAATGAAAGTTACTGAGGTGATTTGTAGAGATAACTATTTGGCAAATTGGTATATGTACTGGTACTATTTTGAGTATATGGTTTTGATTTTTAAGGGAACAGTGAAAACAAGTGTAACTTTCTTAACTCTCAAAATTTGTTAGAAAACATCAGCAATACCCTAATCAAGGGAACAGTGAAACAAAAGTTTAAAAAATATCACATTTTAAAATTTTGTTTTACTGTTCCCTTGACGAGTGTATTGTTGATGTTTTCTAACAAATTTTGTGAGTTAAGAAAGGAAGTTTGTAATTTATTCCAATTATAGGTGTACCAAGTTGGTATCACTGTTTCATCGTTATGAAAGTTTGATGAGTAATATGCGAACAGGCAGTGTTCATGCAATAAAGAATGTTTTTCAACTCCTTTTTATACCCAAAATTTGTTAGAAAACATACCCAACATGCATGTTAATGGGACGACCATGCAAATTTTGCCTTGGTGGCAGACTTTCTTGTAAGTAAAATTTTTTTCCCAAAATCAAAACCATAGTACACATGCCAAATTTGGTCACCAATCAATCAATAATTTTTTTCTAACAAGAGGTCCAAACACCCATTCTTTAATGTGACCATGTACTGTACTAGAATATACATAATCATTAATTTAAAATGGTAACAAAACTTTAAATTTTTATTTGGAATTTTGACACATTTTGATCAAGAAAAGTTAAATGTTTGGTTAATAAAAAAAAATTAATCAGTAAGAAACAATGTCTTGCGGAGCAATCAGTAACCTAAAGGAAATAAAATTAATGTTTTTTTTTTCTTCCTGTTATCATGTAGTGAAACTGTACCAGTTATTGCCATTTTGAAACTTTTAAAATAAGCTACTTAACCAGGAAAACTGTTTGGCCACACCATCCACTGTTACAGAATTAAGTTACAGACACACAGAATGAGAATTTCTATAAACAGGAGTCACTAGTGCTTTTTCTTTCCTTCTTTTTCTTAGTTTCTTTTTGAACTAGATTACAATATATTAATTATCAATTAGCTTTGAAATATTAAACTGTGTTCAGACAGGCTTATGTTATATTATATCACATCTGGCCAATGAAAGGAATTACAAATAACTCCTCCTTTGCTTGGCCAAATTTAACATAACATATGATGAGCCTGTGAAAACACTGCCTTACAGTTGAGAATAAGTTGATCAAATTTGTATGGTATTTTATAAGAAAATTCTCTTAAGGAATTTAACTCTGCATTTAATGTGTATAGGAAGTTAACTGTAGTCTTGTCTACATGAAATATATTGATGCTCATGTCACCAACTAGTAAAATATAACCCAAATCTTTCTGGCTATTTTGGCTCATATGAATATCTTTAAACTATAAAAGGACTTGAAAAACAACATAAAAGTTATCTGGAAGAAAAGACTGGAAAGGAAGGCACAAGCGCTGGCAAGCTAGCAACATCATCTTACCATTATGGGAGCACCATACCCAGGTCTCAGCAGAGAAATAAATGCTCTGCAGTACAAACATTCATGGCTTGACATACCAAGATAATGTTTCTCTCGTACTGTGCCACTCGTCACCACTTTGACACGAGCAATGGCATGTGATGTGACTAAATCAATCTCTCATATGCTTTCTATATCTGGTCGTAAACTGCCAGGCACATTAAGTATCAAAAATGCTGTAAAATTTTTATTAAACCAGCAAAGAAGTTACAAAGCAACATAAATCTACACAGACTTTGTTTTTGCTTGCAGACAACTTTAACTCTTGTACGTCATTAAATAAAACTTTTATTTTTTCATATTATTTCAAGATATGGTGGTATTGTTATATCTGAAGTGTAACAAACATGAGTGCATGAGGAATTGTCCATAACATTAGCAATTAAAAAAATGCTGCAACAATGCTACACTATTTTCATATCAGGCTTGTCTGATATGAAAATAGTATCCATCCATATTACGTAACGAATGAAGCTTATTTGCTTATGATGACAGCATGTAACCACAAGTGAAAATATTTGAAAATAAATATGTTTTATTTAATGACATACAAGAGTTAAATCTACAGACTTCATTTTTCTAAACAGGAAATGATGGCATGTTTTTTAATGTCTTGTATTATAAGATTTAAATGTGAGGAATAATATTAGTAATAATAATGCTAATGATATGGTAAAGTAATAAAATTTTTTTTTATATGTAACAAAATTATTCTAATGCAAAGGTTCAAACCTACTCTTGTAGGTCCAATGGCTAGTGTCTTATCCACTGAACAATCACAGTCACAAATAGAAGCGAAAACTTAGACTTCTAAGCTAAACACTCAATTTTCAGAGGCCCATTTTCAGAAATGCTTGAGAAGTGGGTCCTATTACTTGAATAAGGAGCTATTTGTATCTGTTCTCACCAGTTTCGTTCAAATCAGAAACATGAACGTCTGGCCTCTGCTTGTAAATACGAACACATTTTAAGAGATGTACACTACACCCTATAACTTAAAATACATATTGCCATACACTATCTGAAATTCTCTTACTGTTAAATTACAGGAATAATTTCTCAATAATCTGAAATGTGTTGCAAAATGGTCTGACTATGCAATACTAGCATTGACCATACATGTTTCTGTAGTCTAGGAAATTGATTTTGTTATTGGATTGAATTAAATAGATTTTATTTTCAGAGATAAACTTCCGCCGAGACCTCCTGGACAGAGGACAGAGCCAGAAAATAATGCCGGAGTGAGTATTTTATGAATGAAAAAGAAACTCTGACAGAAAGTTAAATTGTATTTTTGTCCAATTTGCTTGGAAAAAATAAATTTTAAGTGTATTGAATCCGAAATTAACATGCATAAAAACGAATTATTTCAGCAATCATTTCCCGGATTTGGATTCGGAGACGGAGGATTCCACATGTCATTCGGAATTGGTGCCTTTCCATTTGGATTTTTTGCTTCTACTTTCAACTTCGGCGACGGAAGACCTGCTCCCAGTAAGTCTCGAAACACTTTTACTGTCTCTGTCTATTTAAACCCAATCGTTAAAAGTCACGTTGAAATATTTTTAGCCCCTGGCAGTCCTGAATATTCTGAAGAACAGTTTCTAAGCAAAGTATTTCTCTGGGTAGCTATACTTTTTCTTTTCTGGCTCCTAATAGCCTGAGAGACTGGACTCTGGAAGGTGTAGATACAAAAGAGTAGCATTGTCGGCCGTTGTATCGTGCAATTATGGTATTGTAATATATTACGAACTCTCGTCAAAATTTTCGTACACACATTTAATTTTGAATTTTTTTAGATCTCTGTTATTAATAATAAAGTTTTATCAAATCAAAATCTAAATTCTATTTTTAAATGTAACCGCTTGTTTTTTTTTATCGAGGAATGTAAGAGGCTCCATATCTTCCATTGATATTATAGTGGAGTGCGAGAGGAGTTTCGGAGAAATTTAATATATTTGTGGAACCCATTTTGTCTGGAGGTTAGTTTTTTTTAATAATTGCGTTTGAATAATTATTGAGAAACCTTGCCGATTAATGGTATGTTTTATGTTAATTGTACAGAAATGTAGTTAATTATAATTAAGCTATATTGTTAAAGAATGCTTGAAAAAAATCAAATTTTCCCATTTAAACTTCCAAGGTATTTTGAATTTTGCTCCAAAATTGACAGAAATCGTTGGAATCGCATGTAATTTCTGATGTAAAAAAAAAGGACTTTCCTAAAGAGTTTCTTCAAGCATTTCTGCTTGCAAAAGAGCTTTCAAAGACTCTGATGTAAGAGCTTTTGAAAGAATTCAAACTATTTTTGCTATTGTCGGGCTTAAAGATTGTCTCTCTAAGAATTTCGCTTCAAAAGTTTTCATATAACGAAACAAAAATGCTTTTATATCTAACAAACTTATCGTCATTTTGGAGCGTCATAATTTGCGCAACATAACTCTGTACTCGCAGAGCAAAATCTGCTTAAAAAATTTAAACCGGGATTGCAAATTTGTATTATATTTAAAATTATGTATTTACAGTATGTGCGTACAAAACTTCCCGCAATAATTTTCTCATCTCGTAGTTTACAAAACTGCAAATTTGCTCAAAAGCGATAATCAAAATATATTTTATGTACATATCACCAAGTTACCGTTTTTGTTTCTAATCTCTGATCTTTGTTAAAAGTTGTTATGTGCCAGGACTGATGTGTTGCAAGATTTTATTTTATTTGCATATAAATAATAATCGCATTGGATATAAAACAATCTTATTTGTAGCATGGGAAGACAAGATTCTTTTCCTCATTCACTTGTCTAAATTATTATTGTTTGACAATTATTTCTTTATGATAAACTTTTGGAAGCATTTGAAGAATGTTTAGTAACAATTAAGCACTTCTTTAAGACACTTTCAATCTTTAACATAGAACATAAAAACACTTCTCTACAAGTCTATATATAATACTTTTTTCTACACGCTAGACTGCAAAGTTTCAGGTTACTTTCTCTGTTGCTTCCTAAAAATTTGGCTCATTGTGTATTTTCTGTCTTTTGGGAGGTAAGATCTCTAGGCAAGACAAGATTAAGAACTATATTTTAATTATGTTAACCTCTCCATTCTACTATTACTACCCACAGTATTGGTTACTTGAGGATTAAACAACTCGAATCATGACCTCAAAAATGTGTAAGATCACAGTCTGTGTGCTGGGCAATCGGAAGTCCTTTTTGGCTTTTGTAATATATACTGTAAATACGTCATTTTAAATAAGTCTGGTTGAAAACTGGAAAGTTAATTGTTGCCCGGTGGTTCCATACCCTAGAATCTATAGTTTGTTTGATAAATTTTTCTGTAGGTTGCATGTGCGTCGGAAGATGGAAGAACCCGCTGGCTAAATAAATTGTATCATATTTGTTTTATGTTAAATAATGTTTTTGTATATATGGTAATGTGTATATTACATCTACTCCGTCTGGAATTCTTATTTTACGGGAAACTTTGAGTAGCCAACCAGTAGATTCCTCTTTTTTCTGAAAGTGTAACATCATTATGGTATTTGTACTCATGATTTGGCAATGCCAACATTCCATTTAGAGAAATTAAAAATTTCGTACAATTTCGTTTTGTATGTTTTTAATTGTCTGCTCTGTGTGTGTGTCAGAATATCCACCAGATCACATGCATGTATTAGTTAATGGAACAAATTTTATTGTATAACAGAATCTGTCATCCGCCACGTGCCAATGATTTTCGGCATGCGGTTTCATTGTCACTCTATACAATAACTTTTGTCACCCATCAGTTTGGTCAATTTTTGGATACCCGAAAATTGCGGAAGAACAGTGTGAAATAGAACCCCAAAAGATAAAATGGTGATGAGTTGAATGGTTGCGAAACGACGGCTACAGTTCGTCCTCGATTCGGGAATAGGGTGCATTTTTGAATTCCTCGGGAACTTCTTCCTTCTCCTCTGACTTCTTGTAGAATTTCTTGTCTAGAAGAATAGAGTTGCAATCTTCACGCGTCTTTTCACTGAGACCGATGCGCTGCCAAGAAAAAGTATAAAATTATTAACCGATTTAAGAAGGTTCACATACATATTCACCGACCAATATTACCTCTATTTCCTCTCCCTTTATGTTCAAGAAAATCATTTCAGGGGGTGCTCCGGCAACTTGCTTGAATTCTACATTATGACTGAGAACAGTTAAGGCCAGATTGACAACACATTCTAAACAAAAAGACAAAAATGTTTCCCAGAACCACATGAAACTTTCTAGAAGCCGAGTTTACGCCACATGTTCGGAATATTTCATTTCACTAGGGTTTTAACTTAATTTTATAAATAATACAATTTTTAGGGGCGATTGCCTTTATCATCTGATGAGTTTTGGGCTTTTATTTTGTACCAAAACATTCAGAAAAATAATTTTTCAGTCTCCGAGAAACAGCCTGGCCCTCTCCTCATTCCAGCCAATCTCAATTTGCATTAGTCCACGCTATTGCAAAGTTTGAAGAGCTCCCCATGCGAGGACATTGTTCTGTACACTAAACATATGAAATTGAATTCTGACAATTCCAAAAAACTCTATGACATGTCCTCTAAGCATGTGCCAAATTTCAAAGAACAGCAATCATCTGCAATGTAACTACACCTGAAAACTGCCTCTTCGTGTATGTGATCATATGTACTAGATCAGTTTTTTTTTATCGGGCTCGACCTAAATAAAATGTAAGTTACTTATGACATTTATTTTGCTTTCATTAAATACATAATAAATTAAAATAATTTTGTTATTTGCCACTATTATGTACAATCTTCTCCCATATTCCTGGCAGTTTATCAATTCCTTCCTTGTAAAATGTGATTGGTTTGGACTGGAAGAAACTTTCGACAGCCTGACTGACTTGCTCTTCAGAATTGAAGGTTTTTCCATTCAAAACGTTTTGTAAGGAACAGAAAAGGTGATAGTCTGTTGGGGCAAGGTTCAGGGAATAAGGTGGTTGTGGTAAAACAGACCATCCAAGTCCAAGAATTTTTCATTGAGTCCCCCTTGCTGTATGTGGCCGCGCATTGTCGTGTAAAAGAATGACATTTTTGCGATTGATGAATGCAGGATGCTTTTCATGGAATTTCTGTTGCACTCTCTGCAGCTCTGAATGTATCTGTCTGCAGTAATCGTTAAATTTGACTTCAACAACTCGTGATGAATTATGCCTTGACAATCCCTCATCTCATCTCATCGTGCCATATCAGGTTTTCCCGACCTCGGCCACACCCGGTGCAGATTAGTAAGTAGTTAGTAAATACGCCAAGGCTAGGTTACTAGGGAAAGTTAGTACCCAGAGTGGTTTCCCGTTGCCTTCTCTGGGGCGTGATGTTACGTGAGGGGAACTAATGCCTTCCGGGAGGACTTTTATGGGGAACTGGCCTCCTATTTAGTCGTTATTGGCAGGAGAAAATCCAGAAAACTCCAAGCAGCCAGCCTGTCCGATCACGGCGCGAACCCACGACCGAACTCCCAGTGTTTAGGGTACGAAGACCACTCGGTCACTGGTGGGCCCTAACAATCCCACCATACACACAATAAAATCTTTTTGCCATGGATGGTTGATCTTTATCAAGCCACTGTCTTTTGTAGACAATATTGTCATAGATAACCCATTTTTCATTGCCTGTTATAATCCTGTTTAAAAAAGGCTTGATTTTTACCTGTGAGAGCAGACTTGTTGCAATTGACATGCAATCTTTATTCTATTCACTGAAATTGTGAGGTACCCATACTCCTAATTTGCTGACTTTCCCTAATTTCTCCAGGTGGTGGTTAACAGTTGATTGCGATGTATTCAACTATACCTCTTGTTGATTGACATGGATTTTGCTCCAATATTGCCTTTAAAAGGTTGTCATCAAAGTTGGAAGGATATCCCAACCTTGGTTCATCTTTTAAGGTCATATCTCCAGAATGGAATTTTACAAACCAATTTCTAACTGTCCGATCAGTTATTAGTCCTTCACTGTATACACTGCATATTTTTCAGTTGTTGCCTTAGCAGTATTGCCTTGTTTAAATTCCTAAAGCATTACACGACAAGTATGCACTTTTTGATTCTCCATTTCAGAGGTTAAGAAAAACAGTTCAATGTAAAGTGCATCACACAAAACAAATGACAGAAGACTAACTGAACCCTCATCTATATAGTGAAAACAAAAACTCATTTGTCCCAGTGACTCATAGTGGGTAGATACAAACAATAGATTGTACTTAGCTACATCAGAAGTTACTTATGACTCAAACCGATAATTAAAGATGTCTCCATTTTGCAGAACGTGCAAATTGGTTCTTTGTTTGAAACATCTTGTAGGTATTTTTTTTAATAAAACATTTCACTATCGATGACTTTCCCAAATAGCAGTCAAGAGATATGGGGCCAAAGCTTCCTGGTGTAAATCTCATGAATTTCCACCAATGTTTTTTATTCTGGCTAAATCATTTGCCATAGTCGAAAAACGTAACAGTTTGGACCCCTTCACAAGATGTATTATCAAAAATGCAATCTTGTCATATTTTCAATGGATGGAATAAGTAATTTCTCCAAAATGTTAATATATATATAAGGTATGTCCCATAAATATAAAGGCGCAAGTTGTTATGCAAATAAAAGTTAAACTAATTATCATATAACAAAACCAATTTAAATCAGAATCGCGTTTCTCGCTGTCCCAAAATATAAAGGCAGGTTCGATTTTCTAACAACAGAGATCATACAGTACTACAGTATAACTGCCATGTATTTCAAACGTTTATTTCTGTCACATATTGATGTAAATGAATTGTTTCTTATCGTGGGACTTGCAAAACATTTTGAAAAAGGCAAGATTTCAGCTGTAAGAGATGAAAATTACTCAGCAAGAGCAATTGTATTTTGAGAGAAATTAAAAGCAACCAAAAACCTTTATGAAAACTAGCATCAAAACCAGGGCTTAACGTATCAAAATCTACAATTGGAAGAATTATTAGTACATGTCATCTATAAGAAGAAAAAGCCTGCACCGTCACTATCCCCCATCCACGAGCAAAAGTGCTTGCAGGGGGGACGGGAGAAAATGGGATGGACAGACACATGGAAGTACATCACCTGGAGTGCCAAGAAGTTTAATCTCGATGGACCAGATGGTTGGACTTGTTATTGGCATGATATGAGGGATGAAGAAGAAATATTTTCAAAACAGCAGCAAGGGAGGAGGCTCAGTGATGGTATGGGGGTGGGTTTAGTTGGTTTGGCAAGACAATTATTGCATTCCTCAGTGAATGCAAATGATTATCAAGACATGCTAGTAACTTATCTTTTACTTTGGGCTGATATAATTGTTGGAATTTGTTGGTTTTTCCAACAAGATAATGCCCCTATCCGCACAGCTAAATCAAATTATGAATGGTTTTTAAGTAATGGAGCCCCAGTTATTGATTGGCCAGCTCATTCCCTAGCTTTGAATCCAATGGAAAACATCTGGGAAATCTTGTTACAGCTGTATATGCTAATGGGCATCAATATAACAGTGTAGATGAGTTAAAACATGCAATTAATATCCATTGTATTGGTTATTAATTGATTATTATTAAAGATTTGTTACAATACTTTCTACTGTTCTAGTGATTTTGTATTATGACTGTATTTTTGGGACAGCAAGAAACATGTAATTACAGTCGACCCCCCGTCCACTGCCCGGCACATGTATTTGTAAAATCTAAGTGACTTGTACAACATGGAATTCATATAAAATGGAATAGTCAACAGTGTTATAGGGGGTCAACTGTACATGATTTTTTAGTATGTTTATTTTGTAAGTTTGTAACTACCTCAAATTAAATTGATTTTTGGGTTTATGATAATTAGTTTAACTTTTATTTGCATAACAAGTTGTGCCTTTATATTCATGGGACACACGTTACATATCTGTGCATCGCCCAACACTCAACCCCAACAACAACTGAGGTTGGAAATTTTGTTGTTTTCTTTAGGTGCTCATCTCTATGCCTGAACTTTTTTCTGTTGCCTTTCTAATAATCTACGTGAGTGACACAATTCCCAACTTGTCACCTAAGTACGCATTGGGCGTTGCATTACACGTGCGGTAGTAGTGTACACTCTGCATGTTTAGCTCGGTGTTCAATGACCGTTAGTAGGGCGTGCACCCTGGCTCAATTTGGAAATGGATGTGGAAGTGATTGCTTGTGTGAGGCTCCTCTATCGTCGCTATAAAAGACAACGGCAGAGGCAAAGAGAATTTTGGGTGCACCCAATATTACGAGACAGACTGACGCATGGAATGTTTGTGACAACATATCCAAAACTAAGACAATATGAACCCATGTTTTTTAATTATTTTAGAATGTTTATAAAATCACTTGATGATGGCTGCTCTCTTCTGGATTTCATCAATAGATCAGTATCAAAATGATCTACATTTCGGCCAATGTGTGTCCACTGTACCCAAAAGCATGCGATCAAATGTACGGCGCATGTATCTCAAAGCGTGCAGCTGACGCCTGCACAATGTGTGTTCTAACCAAAATCTATCAATGCGGGCTTCTGGCCAAATGTGCATTAAATCACTTTTTTCCAGTTGTCTACAGACCTTGTTTTCTTACGTTTTGGTGCCAGTTTTTGTTTTCTTTCCACACGTGCAAATTCCATTTTTTTCAAGCAATTTCCCTGTTCTGTCAGATTATAACATCTGCTTCTTTCCACTTTATTCATCGCTTTTGTTGTACATTTCCTACCCTCGTGCTTTCTTGTCTTTTGCAGTCGACCAGTGTGTTTTCCTTTTATGATATTCTCAGTTTGTCTATACTTGTGCCAAATTTTAAGCTTTGCAGTGCACAAATAATCCAATTTTTTTCAAACGGTCCTCATTAAAATACCTCCCTTAAGGAGTTTTACAATCTTTTCCATTATTTCGATGATATTTCCCTTCTAGGTGCCAGTTTTATTACTTTATTCTTCTGTTAAAGTGTTTGAGTGATCATGGGCATTTGCCGGTCTAGTCGGACTTTGTATCTTCTCCATACTCTTCTTATATAATAGTCCAGATTTTTTCTCTTAGCCTGTGTTTAAAACAAAACTTCTGAACCAAAAAAGCTGGCTTAATTTTTGGCACAAAGATTTTAATGTTATTACACACGCTCGGTTACAGCAGGTGAAGTTTTTGAACATTTGCAAGCTGGCTCAGAGTAATGGCTTCAAATGACGACATATTAAGACATTCCATTGTACAAATGTACAAAAATAAAGTGAAGCACAATCATATAGCCCACATAATGCTATACTATTATATAATAAATAAAATTTCTTTTAAAACGTTTAATTGCTGCTACAATTTTTTGATAAAAATGTTATTCTTTAAAAACAGTCCAGACTTTTTTTTTGTCACCCTGTTAGTAGCCAAGTATTGATTATGGTAACATCCAGTAAATAATAAAACATTTGAAAATGCATCATTCTGTGTCAAACAATTGTTTTATACGTCTAATCCACGCATTGTAACGACTCATCATTTACTGTATTCCGGAACCACTATAAGATGGATTACTGGAAAGTTTTTATTGCCGCTTTCTATTGCAATGTCATGTGGGACTGGGAAGCTGCCCGAGTGGCAACAAGGCCGGCACTAATCACCCTTTTGTCCCTTTTTACACTTTCGATAGGTTTGACCTAGTCCCATCTTAAAAAGTTGGTTTCACTGGTCTTTGAATCATAGACCTGATGCAAATAGTCAGTGTCATTACGATTGCTAATGCCTTGCATATTAGAATGGTAGATTCAGATTGGCTGTCATAGTAAGAATGGTGGTAGGGTCAGAAGTCTGCCTCATATCCATTGATCTCATGCTTGTCTTTGCTTGAACCAGCAATTTTTTCCAGTATCTCTTAATTTGCTTACCGGACATCGATTATTTTGAAGTCGCACTGAAAGTATTAGAGACGGCACGACATATCATTTCCGACAGTGGCACCGACATCTAAATGCTGGTGGTCGAATTAAGACAACCAATTTGTGCATAATTAATGATAAATCACTTGTCACAGCATACTGTTTTGTAATATAATGGGGGGAAACAAGAACACTTATTATAATCAATACACAATGGCAAAATTAATATTTGGAGGATTTTTTACGCAAAGATCTTTGCTAATTTCAAACTTTATATCCTATAAATGTCGACACAAACCGAAAATTTTATTGTCGATAAATATTATATTCGACGATAATAAAATTTGTGGTTTGTTCAAAACCATCTGTAACCGTTCTGTACGTGTCCGGCAGATGTTTCTACAGCTGCGTAAATAGCGCAATAAAACACTACGTGGAAAATTTGCCACAATATTAACTCGTTAAATGATAATTAGAATAATGTTCTGTCTAGAAATTAATTTTATAACGAGCAATTTTTTAATTAGCATCGTTCGCGTCCAAAAAGCTTTGACGAAAAATTAGTCCGAGAAATAGCAAAACGACAATCCAGTGTCAAACTACATTCAAAAGTAATTGTTTAAACCTTAAAACAAAGTTATAAATTTATATGCACCAAGAAAAAGGATACTACAGAGGAATGTCCTGATAGATGAATTTCTTCACTTCAGGAATTCTATTCAGTCGTCATCCTCCGCAACTCTACAAGAAAGAAATAAAATAAGATTAATAATTTTGTGAATTTTCCTTTAGTCGCTTAATAAATTCATGGACATCAACACCCCAGATGCATTCCTTTGGTTCTGCGATTGTCTCTCAAGCTTTTCCTTTAGATACCCCCACTAATTTACATTAAAATCAGTCTGATCAAAATGACGAAACATTAAGAGGGACATCCCTATATGTGCAGTGATGTTAGAGATGATACAAAATCCAATTATTCTTTAGACCAACCTGTTTCTGTCAATACAATTGGTGGTTATGTGTACAACAATCAAAACTGTCATCTTTATCTAGAAGCAAGATGTCTGCCCCAAACTGGTGTTTTAGAACGATTAATGCATTAAAATAATCGTTAGCCTTCTGCACATCGGACCATTGCATCTGGATTGAAAAAACACCAATGTACATTCACAACTTGTCCATTTTGTGCATTTAATCACTTACAAACTTTTGCACAGAACAAACTAGTTAAATAACCATTCTCTACAAACACCGTTGATATAGGTAATTGGAGACCAATTTCCCAGATCTAAATTACTCCAACACCAACAAAAGAGGTCCCTCCGGTGACCGAGCAGATAAAAAACACCAAATGCCGATCGGTCACTGGTTTGTGACCCACCAACAGCCAGCTACGTGCAGTTTTGTGGGTTTCCTTTACGTTTTTAACAACTAAGTAGGGGTCGATATCCCAGAGTCCACCCGGAATGCATCCCCTTTGGCGGACAGCCACATCAGTTTGCTGTATACAAAACAGTCCAATCAGAGACACTAGTTTACACACAAGATTTTATCTCCACTCGACTAATAAAGCAACAGTGACAAACTATTTACACACAAGACAAAGACCGAAAGAATTGGGAATCCACAACCGCCATGCAGTAATTTCGATTCAATGTAAGAAAGAACAGAAGCCAAACATTTTGCCACGGGTCAATTCCGGTTTCGAGATTCACTTTGCCATTTCGTGACCCAAGATCAAACACCATCCGCTAGTTGTAAACTCTCTTGTAAATTTTGAGTGTTTCTAGTGTATATGCTGTTTATAAATGCTCCTTTGTACAATTCTACCTTCTACCCACACTAGAGAAGTCTAGTGTCGGTAGAATTGTAGTTCCGAACAACCCCTAGACGTTGGTTCTTGACGTGTCTCATGCGGTAGACCCCAAAACCTCATACGAGGCTCTGCCGGTCTACAACTCCGAGGACCAAAATCACCTCGTTTGGAACTGCATTTGAACTGCACCCAAAGGGTATTCGTGACGTGTACCTTAATGTAACTTCTACAACACGCCTCCTGCAGATGATAAACAGGGTGCAGTCGACGTCCAACATAAAGTTTACTAGCGATAAAATAACGAATAAACAAACATGGTGGAATCGATAAGGTGCAGACACGTAACAATGAAAAAAAAAAAAACTAAGTGTGAAGTGTGACGTTTCACCGACACGAGCAATAACCAGGCTACGAAACAAAAGAAATAAAAACAAACAATACTCACTTCGACTCTACATTTCGCTATTTTGTTGTCTTTGACGACGATTTCTGCACCAATTAGTGCAAAAAGTGGTAGGAGAAGCAATACAAACCGACCGATCTCCGCCATGGCACGTCACCACTAACGAAATTGCCGCAAGTCACGTGACATACGTATTTCCGGTCGGAAGTTTACACCGACTCGTCGAGCTATTACGTCGTAAAAATATTTATTTTTTATTCCGAATTAATTAATTTACTCGAAATTTTGTAAATTTCCCCCGGTCACGTTCCGGATAATTAAACGAACGCGCCGGAACCGTTCGGCCAGATTACGTCGATATGACGTCACCGCTTTAGTTTTTCGTACGCGTAAGCGATGACGTTGCGCCGACGTAATAGGAACAAACGAAAACTGATTCGATTGTCCGACGATTTGTCGAGTGGCGCTCTCTGCCGAACGATAACGGAAGCATCGATCGAATATGGAAAGAGAAAGATGGTGCAGTTTCTTCGTACCAAAACATACCTTTTGATATTAAATCATCACCAAAATTCCTCTTTACTCGACATTCACGTCAAATAATCAATAGGCTTGCCATTAACACGTGAATAATGGACAGATCCCATTAAAATATATTCATTTCTTCAGATACAGGGATTCAAAATGCACTTACAAAATCATATATTACCAGTCACCAACACACCTGCATTATTTAAAGTATATAATGCAGACTCACTCCTTTATTGCAATTAAATATTACTAATCGGAATTAAGTGTTTCGTACACGAAATTATTATTATTAACTGGCAAAAGTTTATTTTCTTCAAAGAGTAATAATCTAATTAAATAGGTGTTTGCCACTTTACAGAATTAGTTCTTGTACTGTACATATGTATATTACACCGGGTGCTGCGTAACTAGCGGTACGAATAGGAAGTTGGCGATACTACACGAAAGTACAGAACGAAATTTTTGGGATACGAGGCTTTGTTTCCGCCAGAAACGGCTTTGAAATTTCGAGTACGCTCGCACTCATCCGGATCGAAATCTACACGAAATCGGTCGAGTATCTCTACTGACGTTCGAGTTAACGGTGCGAAGAAATTCCCACATTGACAAAGTACGATCCCGTGGCCAACTACAGGTGTTTGGTGGTTATATACTCGAGGGCTTATCACACCGGTGAAGTAGAATTAAATTACAAAGGACCCAAAAGTTAATATTAGAATAAAAACACAAAGATCCAACGTCATATAGGGCGTAAGTTGATATAAGACATTACTGTTTGTATAATCTAGAAACATTTTTATAAAACTTAAATTGGAGTTACTAAACAGGTCCAAAAATAGTATAAAAAGTCCCGAAGTATTCTTTACGGGCTTAAAAGATATAAAAATAGAAAATAATTTTAAAATGCTATTGTTAGATGTAAAAAGTATGTATCCCCTCCATTAAAATTGATAGAATGATAAATTCCCCGATTAATTTGAAGATTGGATTATTGAGTTGGTACAGTTCGTATTGATAAATAATTATTTTCGATTTATAGTAAATATTACACCCAAATAAGTGGCGTACCGATGGGATCAGTTATAGGATCTATATTGGCAGAATTGAGCATGACTGATATCGACACATCTATAAATACTGTAATATAAAATATATAAAATTCTATAGCGGGTATGTGGATGACTGTTTCATCGTATATAATAGCAATGAAATTAATCCTAAAAGTTTATTGAATATTGTTAACAATCAAGATAGTAACTTAAATTTCGAAATACAGAAAGAGGAAAATAATACATTGTAACTATGTCATGCCCCCTGCATCTAAGTAGGAACAGTACAGGTAAAATTTAAAAGTACAAGTAAAGGAACATTGATAAATACAAAAATTAATTAAAAATTAAAGACGTAACCAGTGACACGAGGGAGGTATAAGTATACAAATTAGCGGTTGTAGCTTATGCTGTGTTAATGTGTATCTGTGCTTGTTGATTGAGCCAGTTCAAATAAAGTGCCTTTGTAAGTACAGTACTGTACATATCAATCACTTTACATTTATAATATTAATTATAGAAATAGCAATTATTTGTAAATTATATTTAAGTATGGAAAGTTTGCTACAGATTAGTCAAAGAGTTTAGAAGTTTATATAGAACAAGATGGGCAGAATTTCGTTTTTACATATACAGTAGTGTCCCAAAAATTCGGCCTAATGTGGACCGAAGGATGGCCGAGTTTGTGAAAATGCCGGGTTATCGGGAAAGGGGTAAAAAAAGAATAATTACGAGTGTTTCCTGAGAAAATACTGTAATGTACTTGTACGTATTATTTGCTTGAGAATACAACAGAAAATAAATTGCCCAAATACCCTTAAACAAAGGAAAAGTATGTACTTTATGAAGGCATAGAGCCTTTACTACATTAAAATGAAAATTAATGAATACACAGTGTACAGTAATTTACCTGATAAGACAGACCTCAGAAAAATACTTTATGAAACATAAATCTGTCTATAATGAAAATTAACTAGGGGTTTTTTTTGCCCTGCCAGCGTGTGGCTGAGTTATCGAGTGCCGAGTTTTCGGGACTCTACTGTATACAGAAAGTTCAATATCGATTGGTAAACATATCCATTACCTATATTTAGTATGCTTGGGAAAGTTTTGCTATTTACGTTGGTTCTGAAACCGTAAGTTTCTGTCGGGAGTGATAACCGATCACACGTTGGCGTTGGAAACTTCAAGAGATCACTTCAAACTTTTGTATGACAGTTACAAATTGGTGTGTTGACATGTAAACAAGTGTACTTAAACATAAATCGAAGTTGTGAGCGAGACTTCAATAGTTTCTTTAATGAAAATCACATTTTGTTTATCAACTTAGTATATGGGTATCCCTATTGAAATATAGCCTGGCCACTTAACAACATAGGGATATATTTCACTGAGCATATATCATGTAGAATACTTATGAGGAAAACCATGAAATAAAAGCCACAAACACAAGCCTTCAGCATGGACAGAATTAGTAATGTGGCCCCCTCTAGAAAGCTTTCAGGACCCCTGATATAGGATTATCAATAAGTACTAGATATGAAATATGTATCTAATGCTAATTGCAGAAAAATTAGAGGAAAATTTTTCAGATTTTCTTGGGAGTGATTTTTAGCAAATAGTGTGGCATGTTATAGACTAGCAACATGTTCTTCTGATGTTAATCCTATAGAAACCATGTTTGGTATTTTAGCAAGAAAAGTATATAGGAATGGAAAGCAATATACATCAGTGGCATTTAAGAAAGGCAATAACTGATGGCTGGAATGAAATCACAGATGCGGAGAGGAAAAATCTCATTAAAACAAAGCCAGATAGAGTTTACGAATAATTAATAATGAAGGCGGACATATTGCTTATTAATTAATTCTTTATTAATGTCATTATTTCACACTGGCTGTATATCATTTTGAAACAGACTATCTGTATTATTTGGCAGGCTAATGTGAAGGCTTGCTTCATCCTCAGTCCTTAGAATTTTGAAATTCTAAGGGCCGAGATACAGTAGAGTGTCGTTTATCCAAAAGCTGATCAACCGAAATGTCGGTTAACCGAAAGCGTTCCAGTCGGCAAATTTAAATTTCCACTAGTGCTGTGGTGCTGCAATCTTTGGGCTACAGTCACTACATCAATATTTTTTTGTTGGTGTGTGTGTGTTTTAGCTGGCAGCATGGCACTTTTGTGTGGTGTTTTTCCGAGGACTGTCGGGATGTATGTCATGCTGAATTCAATGTTTTTGATACTAGATTATAATCGGTTATCTGAAAAATAAGTTATCCAAACAACCCCAGTCCCCAATTAATTCGGATAAACGATGCTGTACTGTATTTGAGGTCAAAATTTGCTATGCAAAGCCTATGGTCTGATTGCTGATTGTAAATTGGTATTGTGCTACAAGTTGACTGCTGTCAATTTACATTAATCTCTATGATAAATTTTCACTTTGATCTTTAAGTAAACATGACCATTTAACATGCACAATGACATGACGAAATCTACTTTTCAAAGCACACGTGTGTCTTGCAGTCACAGATGTGAATATTGCTGGATTCACATATAGGCTGCTGGCTGCACATTGAGTGTTTTGAATGTTTCATAAAGCTTTGACATTTATGACTGTAAATTCACCTCCTCCTTTGAACTTGAGGGTTTTAAACTGCATTAGACGGAATGTTAGAAGCATGTCAGTGGATCTGTGTTTTCATATCAGGCCAAAATAGTAAAACCTACATCACCGAGCTCGGCTTTGTTTTCCCAGAAAATACCTAGTATCTACACAGAAGAATGTTTCCTGAATTCACAGCATAACGTGAACAGTTAAGGCATTGTGTGAAGAGTATTAGTTTTCAGGTTCAATCACCACACATGAATCTTTTGCCACAAAAAATATATATAAGATAGTTACAATGAGAGTTTCACAAGAATAAGACAGAATTTTGGGTTTTATTTATCATAAAAGCAGTTAAAGCATAATAGTTTGGTGCACCATGCACAAATAATCATTGCTACTTCATTCGCACAATCTTTACATTTTGTTTTAACAACAGAGGGTGGAAAACAAATTTCATTAATGTTTTGAAATACTTCTTTCGTGTTATTTGATACGCAAACTGTGTATATTTTAACATACCACAAAAAGCTAGTGCGGTCAACTGGTTGTGAATTAGGGAGTGTATTTTAATAGCATATTTTGGCAAGTCGGGTCCCACTAGTTAATAAATCATTTTCATACTTAATAATAACCAAAAAAGCAGAATAAATGATAAATCATTAGTCTTTTTGTATTAATAACATAAAAAGCATTAAACCATCTACTGTTTCAAATCTCTTTTAGATTTCTCTGTAATGTTTTAGTGACCAATTTTGATGTTCTTTTGCCACAGTTACAACTTTTCACTTGTATTCTAGATTCACTGTTCTAAATTTTTTTGTTTTCGGGGATTCGATCCACTCTTCCAAGAGTGGTGACGACAGTTCTTCCATTGATTAATGCAGTGATTCACAACCAACATCAACATATATTTTGTGGCCTATAACTATTACCTTTACTGATAAAAGATCTTCTGCAATGTAATTATTTCCCACAAGAAACTTCTTGGCTACTTTTAGAGCACTTTTCAACAGCATTTTTTTATTAATATCTTTTTACTCTTCTTCCTCCTGCACACTAGTGCTCATTGATGCCATAGGAATATCCATATCTCACAAGCCAAATAAAAATCTGTCTGGCATTCTTCACGCTTCTATTTATATTGTCCGTCACTGAAGTTATGATGAATAAAAACAGAGAATCTTAGCTGTCGACTTTGGTCGATTCTCCCTTTTAACTTCAAAGGGATCCACCCAAAGAACTCCAGCATTGCCCTGACCTGAATAGTAGTAAATAGATAGTAGCAGTGGCCTTATTGTTATAAGACTTATCACACACCTTTCCGATTTCTTTAATTAAATGCTTAATATCCTAGAATAAATTTTGACTTTTTTAATAGCCTCTTTTGGGCTATTAAATGGGTTACATATACACATTTGGACAATATGGTATTATAATTAAAATACACCTAAAAGAATATAATAAAATGGAAATACAATATATAGATAATCCGACATTTATATCACTATATATAACCACTACATACATTATTATAATTATAAAAAATCTTAATTAAATTCCAGTTGCTTAACTTTCCTGAAAACATTTAAAACTGCATGTATGGTATCATCTATTATATTTTTGATCATTATAAAAATGGTAGAAAGCTTAATTTTGAGGGTAGGGATGGGTTTTATAAAAAACTTTAAATGAAAATAACGAGTAAAATCTTTGTTAAGTCCGACCCTACTCGAGATATGATATGATCCCCTTTAATCTCCCCACCCTGTCGACCTTTATCAGCCAAAATTTAATAGCATCAAACTCCCTGATACACAAACCTCCCTGCAAAACTTCAGAAATTTTTGACAAAAGACAACAGAGTTATTAAGCTTCGAAGAGGGTGAAGAAACTTATACCAGGTGTTATCTACTATTTTAAATTTACCTACGGCCACCATGACTCTGAGTTCTCTCCCTAAATTACCATATTAACCATTGACGTTAATATAATCTTTTCTACTGATTTAATATGATGTTTTCTGCATATTTAGCGTTAATTAAAGAAACTGGAAAATGTGCGATAATTCCGATAATTATAACAATAAGTCCAGCAGGCTCATTTGTCGTTTACTTATTTGTATTAATAACAATAAGATTAAATTATGTAACAAAAAAACAAAAATATCTTGCATATAGAGATCAAACTCAAAAACTAAAGCTCTTTGCACATCTTAACTAATCCAACTATACCATAAATTCGTGAATTGTTCTTCCGTGTGTGCATTAATAGTTCTAGAAAATGTTTATCGCAATTTTCTCAAGAACACCTGAATAGCGGGTCCTGCGGTTTTGATAGAGTATAAGTACAAGTAAATACAGAACGTCCACAAAATTTCATTTAAATCGGTGATTAAGATGTGCCGAGTTCCCCTTGTTAGACAAATGTAAGCTATACACAATGATAAGTTTAGATACATGAATAATTAAAAGGTATGGGCAGCTACAAATTTTTCGGTTCTGTTAGAATCTTACGAGACTTCCATCATATGCGCAGACCATAATTAAGCTTAACAGTACTCCGATCGGGAGTAAAATAATGCAATAAGACCGATTTTGTCAACTCTGTATGAACGTCACTACTTGCACAGATCTAAAGTATGTTTAAATATGATTTTTGAGAACACAGATGTGATGGAATGCATCTGTCATTTTCTACTTTACTAAAGATCCTAACAATAGTTACATCACACCAAATGAGATGGATTTTAAAATGGAAATTGTCACAACAGTGGCAAATACTGGAAGTAATTTAAATTTTAACTATCTCATTCACCCGTATGTGCACGACGCAACGCGGGTATGGACTGCGGCATATTTTGTTCCTGTGATGAATGATGATCAACAGGAGTTTTATCCCGCTGTCAGGCCTTACCCATGCAATTCCTGACATTTCCTGTAGCCTTTTGCATCGTCACCTATCGTTTCCTGACATTCTTTTGTATGTATTAACGGATGTTTGCCGAATGATGTAACTGGACACACCACAGGTGTATTGTATGTCTCCACACTTGGCCCGTCGGCACCTTTGATGTGTTTTTTATCGTTTCTCGGATTGTAACTGTCTCATTCACCCCATATTTATGGTTTCTTCAGTTGAAAGACTCCAAGGAAGAATAGGGAAACTCAAAAACCTCTTCAAACTTGACATGGCTAAGGAAGCATTATACATTTTCTACGTAAAAATTTATAACTGCTTCATCAAGCAATCGAGGTTTTACAAGCGAAACATCTGCATACAGAATACTGAACAATGAAATTTTTAATTATATCAATAATACAAATATACCCTAAATATAGTGTATCACGTATCTTGCTACTGTCGCTGACGGTGACCTGTTTTATGATATAAAGTGTTCTTTTCGTGTTTAAACCCAATATTTACATTTAGTTTTATTTTAATATCCCGCCTGTAAAATATTTAAAAAAACGACACTTACCATTTTATAGGAGAGTTTGTCTCGCTGTCAATTCGTTGCATTGCCTAATTTTATTAGATATTTATTGAAATGTAGGTTTAATAACGTTTCATGTCCCTAAAAACAGAAAAAAATTGGTAATTAGTTGAAACACTATCTAAAGAAATTAATAATAAGACCCGTCACCCATTATCGATTCTTTTCGGAGACAGACAATGTGATGTGCCGATATGCAATTCTATACACAGAAATGAAACCTGAGTAAACAGGAATGATGTTTAATATCATATAAATTTTAAAACAACAGTGAAATGTAACAAAATATACAAAAATATGTGTTGTACACTAGCTGTGCGTGCATAAATAAATAATTTTTTGTACGATCTAACTGATGTCGACATTTTGCATTTCTTCCGGATTGAACCGACAGAACGGACAGTGACCTTTCTGTAACACCTGCAACTCGTAATCGTCTGTGTGAAAGAGTTTCTTGCACGATTCGCACTGAGTGATCTGCACGTCAGGCATCAGATTACGAAAATACTGGTAGTGACGGGGTAGCGGCCACTTGCAGACTATCACGTCAGTGCGATTCATGCTCTGGAGCACGCTGCGACTGACGATCACTGGGACAAAGTCTAATCCTCCTTCTTCGAAGCTCATTAGGCGGGCAGTAAACGGATCTGCTTCGGAGTCATTTTCCAGATTGTCATCAAAACGCAGTGCCTGGTAACTTCCTGCATCCACTCCGGTAAAATTTTGTGGCTGCTCAAATGAAGATTGTGGTTCCATTTCTAATAATCTCATGGCTTCTTCATCAGAAATTCCCTCTTCCAAAATGAATTCCACTAGAGGGAGAATGTCGAAAGAGACAAACGAATGGACAAATGGTTGTTTACAGTTAATGCAACAATTTCCTTGATTATTGAGAAGTGGATTTGTGGTAGAGCAACGATAACACAGAGGTAGGAGATCTTCGGCATCGCTGAAAGGTTTCGATCTTATCTTCACTGCACCGAGGTCGATAATTTCTTGGAATCTCGCAGGAATGTGCAGAGATTGCAATTTGTCGTACGCGTGGCGTGCCAATTTATAAGCGCCAAGAGTCCGACTCTGTTTTGCCAGAGCATATAAAATTGCAACTCTTGAAACATCCGGTAAACTGTCTCCAATCATTTGATGCAACAAATATCGAGCCATGTTGAAGAGTGCTTCCGAGAAAAACGAGGTGAACGGCTCTTCAATAAATCTGTGAATGTTGTGGTAAGCATAGTATATTTCTGCTCTTTTCTGATACTTGTCAAATTTATTTAACATTATTTTAGTTTGCGTTTCATCTTCTCCAGCAATATCCAAACACTGAATAGAAAGTAGCCAATAGTAATATCCAGCATCATTAAATCTACTTTCATTCACCGCATTATGTGTTAATTCTTCCAACACTCTAAGTGCTTCGTCTTGTCTTCCGGCTTTGTGAAATGCCTTTTGAGCTTCAACAAACCGATCGTTTTCTGCTAGCCAATTAGCATAAGGTACATAAACTTCCTCTTTAAATTCCGTATGTTGTTCAGCCAGGACAAAAGCTTCTTCCCACTGATGTGCCTCCACGTAAAGTTTTATCAGAGCGTGTACGTCGTGCATCTTACGGTAAATTTCTGCAGCATACTGGTACTGTTTGTGTTTCCTCAAAGATTCAGCAATGGTGGCCAATGCCATTTGATCTGCTTTATCCAGGTGTCTTCCGATATCCATCAGCATGTCCACCCATCCATGTTCGCCAATTATTTCTATGGCTTTCATAGTTTCTCCGGCCGACAGATACATCTCAGCCGCCGCTTTAGGTTCATTAATATTACGAGCCCAGTCGGCCTTCTTTTTTATTAATATCTTCTTATCTTGAACATCATCTGAAGAGAGAAATTCCTGAGCTAAATCAAATTTTCTCAAGTCCGTATACATTGTCATAGCTTTACTTTCGTTACCGGACTTTTTATATAGCTTAGCTGCATCTGCAAACTTTCCCTGAGCTGCATAAATATCACCAAGAAACACATCATTTGATTCATTCTTTTTCTTTCTCTCTTCTATGCTACCGATTAATTGCAAGTAAAGTAAATCTCGCACACGAATAAATGCTTGCTTTGCGACAGAAACATTTAAATTCTCTAAAGAACCGTGAGCTAATGCTTTCCAATCATTTTCTGTTACTCCTAAACATGCCACTTTATAAGCTTCGTTAAACATTTTCTTCTCTAGATACTGATACATTGGCGTCGACTGAGGAACTTCGATACTCGACATGTTATTATAGTGCAGACAAAAGATTTTAGAGCCACAAAAACCAACGACAAATCCCTGAAGTTTCTGCTGATGAGTAGGGAAATTTCCGGCTTTGATATTCAAATAACCCGCACCCGAGAAACATAACATGTCCTCGTTTTGGCTATTCCAAGCAACACTATTTGCATTTGGTTCTTGAAAAAGTAATTCTTTCGTATTAATGTCAAACACTAAACACGTCCCCATGTCATCTACGATGGCCAACTTACGTCGAGCCGCACTGAGATCCAGGCACCGAATGGCAGAAGGTATCTTCAAAATAGGCAACGGAAAAGGGTTATCGACAAATATTTTCACCACTTGACCGTTTTTCAAACCTACCAACAGTCCCTCGCGACCGGTGGGTCCTCCCGTCACTTTAATGTATCTTATCGACGATTCCATCACCCAATCTCTTTCTTTAACGCCTTGGAAAGACATACACTGCAACCTTTTCTCTCTACACAGAACAATATGATTGGCACAGACCACCAATAAGGTACATTCGACTTTCTGATTAATCTTTTCTTTCACGCGATAATGCATATCGTTTGCATCACCTTTCGTCAATTCGTAAATGATAATTCGTTCCGGCAACTGCACTGCCAGTCTGTGTTTAAATATAGCAAGTTTCTTGATAAAGTCTCGGCACTTTATTCTAACCTTCTCTTCCGTTATCAGGTGTTGGATGATGACGTCCGTCATGTTCTCTCTATAAGCATAACGTTCTTTATACAAGCTGTGGACGGTAGAAAATCCAACGTCATAGTAAGAAATGGTCCCGTCCTGACTACCTACGGCAACGTGTTGCGAATCCGGCCTGGCGCTGCAACACCAAACCCAAGAACTCTGTTCGGCCACCGTTCCGACCATAATACCTTCTCTCGTATACAGGACGGACTGCTTGTTGGAACCGCCGACGAGAATGTAATCGCCGTTCGAAAAATAACCGACGCACATGGGATCGAACCCCAAGGAGCGCTCCTTCCCTATTAATTTCCCCGCAGAGTTATAGAAGGAGAGCATCTGGCCCCAGTCGACGACAGCCAGGACATCGGCGTTGTCCTCCCGGGACGGATTCCAGCACACGCCCCAAACCGGAGAGAGTTTGCCGCCAGGTCTCTCCGTCTTGATCTTCTCGTCTCCGTTCCTGCTCCGGATGCTGACGTAGCCGTTGACAAGACCGAGCGCCAGGTGATGCCCGTCGTTGGTCCAACTGCAGCAGGTGATGCGGCTACTGACCCGGTGCTTGGTGACGGACTTCTGCTCCGGAGACCACAACCCGAAATCCGAGCAGGCGCAGCTGGTGAGCTGATGCGACACGGGATTGTAGGCCAGGCACTGGATGGCATCGTGATGGGAATACTTTAATATGCCTTCGAGCTTGGAAGTCCAGATAATGACTTGTTTATCTGCCGATCCGGAAGCGAATCTCTTGCCATCTTTCGAGTAACAAACGGCATAAACTACGTCTTTGTGGCCTTTCAGGGCCTGCACCAGCGATCCGTCGTTAGTGTCGTATACTAAGACACGGTAGCCAGCGGCTACGATTAATTGCGATCCGTCAGGTCTGAAGGCGAGATCGTATATGCACTGTTCTCCATTCTTATCTCGGTCCTGTAGTTTCTCTACCCAAAGCGAAACGGACCTCATGACACACTCCAAACGACCGAGCGATCGTTCAAAAACAAACACGCGTAACGCCCCCTTTCGGTATCGATCGACATTTAAAGCCACCCGAAAAAAAAAATATATATATATTTATTTATTTATTTACTATTTTAAATTAATATTCTAAATTGTAATATTTTAAAATATTTAAGATTCAGTCACAAATTATATAAAGTTCTGAGCATGTTTTAATGTAAATTGTCGTTCGCATCAAAAGGATTATTTCTAAAGTTTCCTGCGCCCCCTTTCGGTGTCGATCGGCGACGACTAAAATAATTATAATTTAAATTAATAATTTTATTATAAAATTATTTAAATTATCTTGTTCTGAGTCATTCAATGTTAATCATTTATAATTATATATTAACGTATAACAGCGAATTGAATCTCTAATGCTGATTAAATGATAAACCAACGGATATGTCGGGCCCGTCCCTCACCATCCGGCAGCCTCATTGTGGGCCTGGCCGAACCCATTATGGGCTTGCAAAAAGAGGCCCTCTTAGTGATCACAGGGCGGAAAAAGTTAAAAAAAATCAATAAGAGCAAGAAGTTGTTTATGATTTTGTTACATATTCTAGTTAAATAATTTTCTGTATATTTACAGCAAAGCGTCACTCCCATGGGGCAGTAACCTGCTGCCCCAGGAGAATCGTGTTGAAATCTAGATGCAAGCTTTCATGAAGAATTTTACATGGATATGTAGCATCCTCTCTCTTACAATCCCGGTGTCGCCATTAAAGGCGCTACTTAATTCACAATCAAGGGATCTGAGATCGAATCAGGGTTAAAAAAAATTATTTCAGAACACAAAACAATTAGTTATACTGACTAATGATGCAGTATAACAATTAAATGCAAATTATAATACCGAAATGGCAATAAAGAGTCTGTATAACAATACCTCGTGTGTTAACAATGGATGCGTTTACTTTTAACTCTGATCTCGTCCCTAGCGCGCTCAGCCTGTATACTTTTTGTTAGCTACCAATGAGCACGGCGTTTACTTTTCGCACCGTGACGTCATTGCTAGCATTCCTAGCGCGCTCGGCGTGCTCGGAGAATTTACAACGAGCTTGGAGTTTGTTCAAAGATGGCGGCGTCCATTACTGTGTATACTTTTACGAGCGTGCTAGTATGACGTCAGGCTGCGCTAGGTGTCAGCTCGGCGAGCTTGGAAGCTAGCAAAAAGTAAACGCACCCAATGGCTTCTATTCGAGTTTAAACCAATGCTCAAAAATCGAAATCAGAGAGCCACCAACACTAATTGCAGGTTTACATCTGACTAACGTGGAGTCCTCACAAGTCTAATACCAAAATAGTGCTAGTTTCCTATAGAAATTCCTATGAAAAGGTATTCTCCTTGGCATACCACCCAATGTTACGTTGGCTTAGCCTATTAATCCTACAATCCTTCACAAATTACGGTTGATAGGCTCAATTTGACTAACAAGCCCTGCAATACGAACTATGTTTTCGCGGATAAATTGCAATTAAAACAAAACAAAGATATAATACTAAATCGAACCAGAAACAAGGCACAGGCTAGGAATGCCACCTTTTCTAAAAGGTGGCATTCCTAGCCTGTGCCTTGTTTCTGGTTCGATTTAGTATTATATCTTTGTTTTGTTTTAATTGCAATTTATCCGCGAAAACATAGTTCGTATTGCAGGGCTTGTTAGTCAAATTGAGCCTATCAACCGTAATTTGTGAAGGATTGTAGGATTAATAGGCTAAGCCAACGTAACATTGGGTGGTATGCCAAGGAGAATACCTTTTCATAGGAATTTCTATAGGAAACTAGCACTATTTTGGTATTAGACTTGTGAGGACTCCACGTTAGTCAGATGTAAACCTGCAATTAGTGTTGGTGGCTCTCTGATTTCGATTTTTGAGCATTGGTTTAAACTCGAATAGAAGCCATTGGGTGCGTTTACTTTTTGCTAGCTTCCAAGCTCGCCGAGCTGACACCTAGCGCAGCCTGACGTCATACTAGCACGCTCGTAAAAGTATACACAGTAATGGACGCCGCCATCTTTGAACAAACTCCAAGCTCGTTGTAAATTCTCCGAGCACGCCGAGCGCGCTAGGAATGCTAGCAATGACGTCACGGTGCGAAAAGTAAACGCCGTGCTCATTGGTAGCTAACAAAAAGTATACAGGCTGAGCGCGCTAGGGGCGAGATCAGAGTTAAAAGTAAACGCATCCATTGTTAACACACGAGGTATTGTTATACAGACTCTTTATTGCCATTTCGGTATTATAATTTGCATTTAATTGTTATACTGCATCATTAGTCAGTATAACTAATTGTTTTGTGTTCTGAAATAATTTTTTTAACCCTGATTCGATCTCAGATCCCTTGATTGTGAATTAAGTAGCGCCTTTAATGGCGACACCGGGATTGTAAGAGAGAGGATGCTACATATCCATGTAAAATTCTTCATGAAAGCTTGCATCTAGATTTCAACACGATTCTCCTGGGGCAGCAGGTTACTGCCCCATGGGAGTGACGCTTTGCTGTAAATATACAGAAAATTATTTAACTAGAATATGTAACAAAATCATAAACAACTTCTTGCTCTTATTGATTTTTNTTTTCCCTTTACAAAGAAAATCCCGAGTTTTATACTGTTCTAAAACAGAAAAAGGATTTCAGACCTTGTCATTACACTAATTATAAATTATTATATAAATTTCACGTATAAATAATCAGGGCTTTTTTTTTCTATAATCTTTAATGGAAAGATGCGTTTTAGAAACTTTTACCATCCGTTTCCCACAAAAGTTAAAAACGGGAGAATATTGAATATTAACTAACTGTCAACAAGTCCTTTCCCCCTCGCATTGACCCATGAAAATAATGAAAATATGTTAAAACAATCAATTGTAAAGTGTGAGAAAGTTGACACCCCTTTTAGTTCTTCGCCCGAGTTAACTCAGGCAGGTTACATAGAGTTACATAAAACTCGGTCCTTTCGGCCCCCCAAAAAAATTTTTGTTTTTTTTTTTTAATTTTTGGAATGTTTTTTAAGTCTTCTAATTTTTTCCCATGCGAAAACATTTTATCGTGATTTTAATCTACCTTTAATGACGCACGATTAACGCTTAATTGATTTTTAATGAGATTTTTTTATCAAATTTAATTCATTGTTCTAAAGTTGTAGTGCATGGATTTTCCTTCGGTAAAGTTATTTAAAGCTAGTTTCTGATGTCAAAAACAACCTCCAATAGTTTTTTAATTTTTTAATTAATAGATTTTATTATATATACGTTTAATTAAGTCAGGGGGGTTGGAAATCGCAATTAAAATTTGAATTTTTTAAAATTATTTAAAAATATACGGCCAGCTAGTATTCACCCTACTATAAACCCTTTGCCTCCCGAGACTTCTATGAGAATGTCCCGGGAAATCAACTCCAGTTGTGTTCAAGGTCATCCAGCTGTGTAAACAATGACTCATCGGTGTCAAATTTCGCAGAAAGGCGAGACAAAGGAAAATAAAGTTTGAAGCTTTTTCTTCAAAATTAACTCATTTCTTTCGTTTTTTTTCAGTTTTAAGTATTTTTTATGTTTAATTACATTAATATCAAAAATTGCTGGGAACTAAAGGTGTTAACTTAGTCCATGGGGAAATCTAAAAACAATTGGAGGATATACTAACCCTTTCAATCGACTTTGTTTAACTTTCATCGTCCAGCTATGACACCTTTGATGTGTCATCGCTGCCAAACAAACAATCACCTGACCAAATTCCCACACCAAATGGGGATATAATGGCTAGAAACCCATTCATCAGGAGTGATTGTTCTACAAGGAGCTAACTTTTTACTTTTGTCATCTCCAACACGAGCAAGTTCCTATGGATTTATCTCTAACTTTATGAAGGGAGTAAGTGTCATCCCAAGCATCTCCCTGGATAATTAGTGTACCGTAAACTGGGGTTACTTTGCACCTCTCTGATCAAATGACTGTTATGAATCATTTTGCATTGTGTTAGTTAGGTAAATATGATGTTATTTTCTTGAAATTTACCAATATTTTCACTCCCAGGTCAAGAGTTTAAAAATACTCCCACTTTTTTCTTGTACTAAAGTTACCCTTTAAGTAGGACAAAGGGGTAACTTTAGGACAAAATGTTTTCACTTTTTTTTAACAGTATAAAAATAGGATTGTCACAACATTAGACTGTCACCAATCTTTATTTATCAAAAATAGTCCCCTGCATTAAGCAGGGTCTTACTGTGTATATATATATATAGGCTATATATATATTATATACATATCAATCATATTAGTGGTGAAAAAAATTAAACCAAATTGTATATAATGTTCAGGATAGATAATTTACTAGTTCTTTTACACAATAAATATCCTGGCGACTTATCTTTTTGGGTGGCTTGCATTACATCTACTGTATCATATTAGTGGTGAAAAAAATTAAGCCAAATTGTACATAATGTTCAGGATAGATAATTTACTGGTTCTTCCACACAATAAATATCCTGGCAACTTATCTTTTTGGGTGGCTTGCACTACATCTACTGTATAGTCCAAGATGTTGTCCTTATTTGGCCATTTCCAGTTACAACCCACTTTTCTCCATAGCCCTTGAGTATCTAACCCTTTTCTGTTTCAATATCAGTCCAGAATAAAGAACACCTTCATAATTTATTAAAACAAACATTCCCTCAGATAAATGTTTTAACTCATGTTGTAATCTATCATCAATTGATTGTAGAAGAGTGAAAAAATGCTTGTTTTAATTTCCTCAAGTACTCAAATCATACTATCATCAGATTCCACATAAGGAACCATTTCCAAGTTCATGTCACTTTAAGTGTCCTCATCTAATGTATCCTTCTTCCTTAAAGCTCACTGGGTGATTTTGCAACAGTCCCAAAGTTGCCCCTTATGTGTTAGATTTTTCAATAAAGTATTTTTTATAACCAAATAATTATTTTTAAATATTATAAAACANGTGTCAGCTCGGCGAGCTTGGAAGCTAGCAAAAAGTAAACGCACCCAATGGCTTCTATTCGAGTTTAAACCAATGCTCAAAAATCGAAA